TGTCCGCGGCACGGCGAGATTCTGCACCGTCGTCACAATCGTCCACCGCCTGCTCCTGGGCTGTGCTCGCGGTGCCGCCCGTCGCCTGCGCCACCGCGTTCGCCGAAGGAGGCGGCTGCGGCCGGCGGGGAGCACTCGCAGGTGCGGCAGCGGCGGGCGCCAGCTGCGCCGCCTCGGCCTCCGCGACTCGGCGGCGCTTGCTGGCCATGCGGTCCTCGAAGGCCTGCTGCTGCTCCGCGGGATCGCGCACCGCCCCGAAGGCCCTCTGGACTGCCTCCTCGATGGACGTCTCGAAATCTGCCTTCCTCCTGGCGGCCTCGTCCTTCTCGGCCCCGAGACAGCGCCGCGCCAGCCGACGCCAGGCCGAAGAGGACACTGCCGATGATCTCGAAGCTGCCACCTGACAGAAGCTGCTCGATGCCCAGGCCGCGCCTCGCCATGCCGTCCGATCTGTGCCCCGACGAAGGCGCATCCGCCGCGAGAGCCCGCACCGCCTCGTGTGGTACAGTGAGCGGCTTAAGCAAGGAACACTTGCGTTTCAAAAGGGGCTCGGTCGTTCCCTAGGCTTGCATGCGCTATCCAGCGTTCCGTGTGCGTTGTTTCATTGTGTATTCTTCCTTGTGCACTGTTCCCTGGAAGACAACGGGGCTTCGTTCCTTATTTCTCGTTCCTCAGGTCAGGCCGATGGCTGTACTTGGCCTCGCGCGCCTCAGAATTCCGGAGGGCCACGACCGCGTCGGACTCTCGGGGGAAAACAAACCTACCTCGCTTTTGACCACCCTCGCTTCCAAGAGATACCAAACGATGCCAAATTGCAGACTGTACTGGTCAGGCCGCTTGACGAGGAGGCGCGTGGTATGGCTTGGTTTTGCCTGGAAGCGAAAGCGGGGTAGGTAATTCACGCTCTGAGACTCGGCAGCCTCGAGCCGCACCCGCAGCGCGGCAGCCGCGCGCGGCCTCGGCCGCGAGCTGCCGCTCGGCCCGCCGCTTCGCGGACGCCCGGCTGCGCCGGCGCTCGGCCGCGCCGGGCGGAGGCGCCTCCTGCAGCCCTCGCGCCAGCTGCTTGCAATAAGTCGGGCCTCCTCCTCCTCCTCCTCCTCCTCCTCCGGGATTTTCGACGAAAAATGAAAAATATTCCAAAAATAGTGCAAAAATACTCTGGGGACTATTTTTTGAATATTTCTCTGATGACCTTTGGGGGGTATGTGTCGAGTATTTCTTATTTTTCACGAAAGTCCCCCTGTAGGGTGACACGCCCGACATAATGCTTGCAGTGCTCCGCGGCCTTCTTGTCTCCCATCTCCTCCTGGGTGGACACCAGGCTCCTGCAGCTTGGGGACATCATCTGCGGTGTACTGCTTTAGGAGAACGGAGCAATGACATGAACATAAAAACTCGGAGGTCCGCGCGGATTTCTCGGATCGGCGCTCGGGCCCCCTGGCGGTGCCTCCGGTGCCGCCCCACCTCCTCCAGGGTGGATACCAGGTTCCTGCAGCTTGGGGACAGCATCTGCGGTGTACTGCTTGAAGAGAACGAATAGTGACATAAACATGAAAACTCGGAGGTCCGCGCGGATTTCTCGGATCGGCGCTGGGGCTCCCTGGCGGCACCTCCGGCGCCGCCCCCTCTCCTCCAGGGTGGACACCAAGGCTCCTGCAGCTTGGGGACATCATCTGCGGTGTACTGGTTTAGGAGAACGAACAGTGGCATAAGCATAAAAAATCGGAGGTCCGCGCGGATTTCTCGGATCGGCGCTCGGGCCCCCTGGCGGCGCCTCCGGCGCCGCCCCTGGCGCGCGCCGCGCGCCAGGGAGGCGGGTCTCGCGCCGGTCCCAGAAATTCGCGCGGACCTCTGAGTTTTTATGTTTATGTCATTTTTTCAGGAGGGAAAGAAACACACAGGCACAATTAATCGTCGACTCCCAGGAAAATATGGGAAAATATGGGAATCGGGGGGGAAGACAAAAACCCAGAAAATATAGGAGACTGTGGGGAGCGTTTCTAGTTGTGTGTATCTGTTTGTGTGTCCTGGGGCCCCCTCCTTCTTGCTCCCAGCTGCTTGCCTCCTCCAGTCCCCTTCGAAGTCCAGCCTCCTCCTCCTCCTCCTCCTCCTCCTCCTCCTCCTCCTCCTCCTCCTCCTCCTCCTCCTCCTCCTCCTCCTCCTCCTCCTCCTCCTCCCGGCGGCGAGGGCTGCCAGCCCTTTTGGCACCGGGGGGCCGCCGCTCCGCCGCCGCTGCGGCGCCTCCAGAGGGCGGCTGCCGCCGCCTGGCCCCCGCCGCTGCGGCCGCCCGGGTGGCTGCTGAGCCTGCAGTGCCGTTTTTGGTGCATGCTCCGCGGGCGGATCACGTGCAGAAAATGCAGGGGTGGAGTACTAAACACAACGATGACTTCATGCACACCTTTTCTCATTCGTTACTGATGTATGAGTGTCATATTGTTTTTTTGTTTTAAAAATATCATGTATTAAAAACTGCCCCGTAGACGCCAGCGAGGGCTGGTGGCAATGCTTGCACCACGTGTGCCACTCGAGGTTCTTCTTGCATCCGCATGCTGCACGGGGGCCTTTCCTGAAGCCCCCGTCCGACCACTCCCGCTCCTCCCGCGCCCTGCCCCGATCGATACGCCAAGGGGCAGAAGGAGAGGGCACCATGAGCGCAGAACTGAGGGGAGCGGCGAGCATGGAGTCGCGGTGGCCTGCGGGACCTCGTCCCAGCAAGCCTCGCGAGGAGAGTGACCGAACCAATCCTGGCCCGCAACAGCACTGCCGTTCTGAAGTTCGCTGTTGCAAGCTCCTCGTCCGAAGACTTGGGAGCCAGAACGGTTCCTCCTCCTCCACCTCCGCCTCCTTCTCCCCCTCCCCCTCCTCCTCCTCCTCCTCCTCCTCCTCCTCCTCCTCCTCCTCCTCCTCCGCCTCCGCCGCCTCATCCTCATCCTCCTCCCCCCTCTCCTACCTATGGTAGTGGTGGTGGAACATCGGCCCATCACGACATGCTTGTGCGTTTTCGGGAGGTGTCGTGGGTTTCCGTGGACACGCTCGGGAGTATGATCGGTGGTCCTTGGAGGGTCGCTCGCCTCGGGAAGTTTTCCAGTCGTGGGTTTCCGTCGACACGTTCGGGAGTTTTATCGGTGCTCGTTGGAGGTTCTCTCGCCCTGGGAAGCTTTCCAGCAGCTGCTTCTTGTGGAGAGAGTGTCGAGGTTGCTCGGATCGTCCCGAGCGGCCGCTGGAGATCCGAGTTGGGACCCGAAGACAACAGTCGGGAGCCTTGAGACGGGGGTCAATGCAAACGGGGATCGGCCGATCTTGCAGGATCCTGCAGGGCCAGTGTCGCATTGGCCCAGGCTTGGGCGCAGGATCCTGCAGGACCTTTCGCACTGACAGGGCATCGGGGCATCTCTGGGGGCGCGCAGTGACAGACGTCAAGCCGGCGGATGCCAGGGCAGGCCGATCTCGGGCCCAGGCTTAAGTCGGGCGTGCCCCTCTAACAGGAAGATGTTCGACGAAACATAAAACATGCCCCAAACATATCCCAAGAAGGTCAAAAAATACCCCAACAATAGTCCCCAGACTACTTTTTGGACTATTGTTGTTTCTGTATGTTTTAGCTTTCGTCGAACATCCCCCTGTAGGGGGACAGGCCCGACTGAAGTCCGGGGGTCGGTGTCCCACTGCAGGTTCGCGTCGTGTCGACGCGCCTGCGGCCTCGCCGCGGGCGCTCCAGGCTGAACGCCGCCACGGGCCAAGACTCGGCCAGCATGGAACGATCTGGCGATCTTGCCATTTTGAAGCCTATCCCCATCCCTATGTTTGACATCACCTCACCTCGATGCCGATCTTAGGGATTCCCTCCGTTTCTGAGGGTCTATCCCTAAGATGGTCCTCGCTGTTTTGCTCGCCCATCTTAGGGATAGGGATAAGTTCGAAGCTGGTTGCGATCCCAAAGCCGCCGATCGTTCCAGGTCGAGCGATCCGCGCGGTGTCCGAAGCCAACGCTGGGACCGTCGCGACGCCAAGGATGGGCCAACTTTCCACCCCCACTACCATAGGACCACGGGCCCAGGTCGGGGGAGAGAGGAGTATGAGGAGGGTCTCCTCCTCCTCCTCCCTCTGCTCCTCCTCCTGTTGCTCCTCCTCCTCCTCCTCCTCCTCCTCCTCCTCCTCCTCCTCCTCCTCCTCCTCCTCCCTCGCCTACCTGTGGTGGTGGTGGTGGTGGCAACTCGGCCCAGCGACGAGCCTGCCCCAAAGGCCTCCTGGCCGAGCCTGGCCCGGCCTGCGCGCCGATCCTGAGCCGCAGGACGGGCCGTGCTGCGAGATCTTGAGCCACGCGCGGGTGCGCGAAGAGAACCTCGCCTCGCGCGTCGCGGCCGGGGCCGTCGAGGCGGCCTGCTCCGGGGGCGCGGCGCGGGGGCGCGGGGGCGGTGTGCAGGCTCGTGAGGCGGTCCAGGAGGAGCACCGCTCCGTGCAGGTGTGCAGCTGCGGCGCCCTCCTGCGAGAGGCGGCGGGGGGAGAAGGGGCCGCAGGGTCGAAGGCCGCCCGCGCCCCGCCCCCCCCACCTTCCCCTCAGGTCGATGATCCCCAGGACGTGTATGGTCTGTCCGCTGCGTGTGCGTGCGTGCGTGCGTGCGTGCGTGCGTGCGTGCGTGCGTGCGTGCGTGCGTGCGTGCGTGCGTGCGTGCGTGCGTGCGTGCGTGCGTGTGTGTGTGTGTGTGTGTGTGTGTGTGTGTGTCTGCGTGTGTGTCTGCGTGTGTGTCTGCGTGTGTGTATGTGTGTGTGTGTGCTTGTGTGCTTGTGTGTGTGTGTTCTCTTGTTGAGGCCCGCCGATCGCACGCAGCTTGCGTCGCCCCTCGAGGGCGCCGCCCGCGTCGGAGTGGGAGGGCCCCGGCAGACCAGCGCACGCTGGTGCTCACCTTGCGTTCCGGGGATCATCGACCTGCCATCTGGGCCGCCCGCGCGGCGGGGGCCCGAGGGCGCTGCGGCCGTGGGCCGCGGGGCGCCCCCCGGAGGGGGGCGCCCCGCGGGTGGCCGGCCATGTCGGACCACTGCTGCGCGCTGGGGCTCCTGGTGCTGCTGGCGGGGCTCGGGGCCGTGTCGGCGTGGCTGGTCTGGCTGCACGGGCAGGTCGACAGGCGCCCCGGGGCGGCGGAGGGCAGGGGGGGGGGGGCTGGCGGGGAGCGGGGCGCCGAGGCTGCTGCTCGTCCGTGGAGGGCTCCTCGCCGCCACGGCCGGATGCTCCGCGGGCTTCTGGTGGGAGGGCACGCCGTGCGAGGTCGGAGGAGTGACGTTTATCGGCAGCCTGTGGCTTCCCCAGAGGGCATCACAAGAATGATTCGGGGCGCTGATGGCAAGACCACGGCGCTGAGCGCCAGGGCGCAGGAGGCGTCACGAGACCATTCCCATATCTCCGGCGAAATGATTTTCCTGACCGTGGTGTGGTGTTGGGCCCTCGCTTTGAAAAGACAGCGCCCCGCGTCCACTCCTCCCGCTGCCCCCTCCCTGCCTCTTCCCATTCCCTCTACCCTTCGCATGTTTATTACGGCACACCCCTCATGCGATTCGTGGCTCCATAGGAAGCTCCACCGAAATCCCCTGTGCCAGTGCTCACATGCGTACTCCCCACCGCGCTTCGCACGCTTCGTGGCCCCATAAGGGGATTCCACCAATGGCCCCAGTTGAAGTGCTCACATGCGTCCCCTGTTTCCATTGCGGCACACCCGTCATACGGCTCGTGGCCCCACAAAAAGCTCCTCCGAAGGCACACCCCTCGCATTTTCATGCCCCCATATGACGCTCCACCTAAGGCCCCAGCGGCAGTGCTCACATGTGGCACACCCTTTGCACGCTTCGTTGCACGATTCGTTGCCCTAGAGCCTAGAGGGACCTCCACCTAAGGCCCCAGCGGCAGTGCTCACATGCGCCCCCCGTATCCATTTCGGCACACCCGTCATATGTTTCGCAGCCCCATACGGAGCTCCACCGAAGGTCCCAGTGGCAGTGGCCACACGCGTCCACTGCACCCATGTCAGCACACCGCTCGCACGCTTCGAGGCCCCATAGGGAGCTCCACCAATGGCCCCAATGGCAGTGCTCACATGCGCTCCCTGTTTCCATTCTGGCACACCCCTCAGCCGTGTCCTGGCCCAATGGAAAGTTCCACCGATGCCCCAATGGCAGTGCCCACATGGGTCCCCGCACCCATTTCGGCACAGCCCTCACAAGTTCCGTGAGCTCCACCGAAAATCGCAGTGGCAGTGCTGACATGCGCCCCCCGCGCCCATGGTTGGCACATCCCTCGCGCGCTTCGACCCCATAGGAAACTCCACCGAAGGCCCCAGTGGCAGTGCTCACATGCGTCCCACGCACAAATTTCGGCACAACCCGCACACGCTTCGTGTCCCCATAGGAGGTCCACCAAAGACGATACTCAATATGATTGGTGGGTCTCTCGCCTGGACGTGTTCCTCGATTTCCGTAGCCCCTCTGGCTCAAGCCGTTTGGGCTCAAGCGCGCCCTGGCTCAGGTGCGGCGCTCCGGCCCCAGCATGACGGAGACCGCGGCAGCGCGGCGGTGGCGGCAGTACCTGGGCGGTTGCCTTCGCCCGCGTTGCCGGCGTTGCGGGCGGCGCGAACGCCGCGGGCGCCGCCGGCGCCGCGGGCGCCCCTGGCGTCGCGGACGCCGCGAGTGCTGCTGGGGCTGCTGGCGCCGCGTGCGCCGCCCGTGCTGCTGGCGCTGGCGGCGTTGCCTGCGCCGTTGGCGCCACGTGCCCGGCGCTGCGGGCGCCGCGGGCGCCGCGGGCGCTGCGTGCGCGGCCAGCGCTGCGGCCGCCGCGGGCGCCGCGGTCTCCGCCAACGCCCCGGGCGCTCCCGGCTTCGCTGGCCCCGCGGGTGCCGTTCGGGCTGCTGGCGCTGCGTGCGCAGTCGTTGCTTCCGGCGTTGCCGGCGCAGCTTGCGCCGCGCGCGCCTCTTGCGTTGCGGGCGCCGCGGGTGCAGCGGGCGCCGCTGGCGTTGCTGGCGCCGCGTATGCCGCTGGCCCCCTCGGCGCTGCGGGCGCCGCCGACGCCGCGGGCGCCGCGGGCGGTGGCGCCGCCTCCGCCGCCGCGGACGCCGCTGCGGCAGCGACCGCTGCTGGTCTCTGGGCGGCCACGGCCGCCCTCGCCCAGGTGGCGGCAGCTGCGGCCCGCGCGACGGCCTGGCCGAGCGCGCCACGTGGCCTGGAGAGACGATCGTGAGCATCATGGTGGAGTCCAGCAGGACGAACGTGAGCAGCACGAGAAATTAATTACACCGACTGGATCTTCTGCAGCACGACGGACTCCAATAGCACCGTCGTGAGCAGCACGACAGCACGATGCACCTCAGCAGCACGAGCGTGGGCAGCGCGACGCATGTTCAGCCTTGTTTCGGGCCCTTGGATCATCGCAGATCGATATGGCTCGCAAGATGGAGCAGAACATCGGGATGCCAGCGACACCACTCCGCCCAATACGTACAAGAAGGACTGGCAGGAGCAGTGGCAGCCGGCCCTTGCGCTGCTCCGAGATATGTTGGGAATCGTGCCAGAGCCCGCCATCAGCTGCTCCCGCGCCCCGACCAATGCCCTGACCATCGCGTGCGAGAGTGGCCAGGAGGGGCGGCGGCAGCCAGCTCTTGCGCTGCTCCGAGATACGCTGCGAGTGATGCCTGAGCCCAATTTCGGCATCTCCAGTGCCTCGACCAATGCGTGCGAGAAGGATCGGCGAGGGCAGTGGCAGCGGGCCCTGGCGCTGCTCAGCGAGATGGTGGGGGTGAAGCTGGAGCGCGCAATCGTCTACTAGAGCGCCTCGATCAGCGCGCGCGAGGAGGCGCGGCTGCAGCCGACGTCGGCGACGACGAGGCAGGTGGACGTCGCCGGGGCCGATCGGGCGGCGGGGGGGGTCCGGGAGTTGGAGGTGGCGGTCGGGGGCGGCGACGGCGCGAAGGGGGGGCGCGATGCTGGGCGGGGCGGGCGAGGGCGCGGCGCAGGAGTGGGAGGGCGGGAGCGTGGAGGTGGAGGTCGAGCATGTGGGGGCGGAGGTCGGCGAGGAGGTGGAGGAGGACGGGGAGTGGCTTGGTGACGCTGCGCGCGCGGCCCGTCGCTCGTCCTGGAGAGCCCTCGCCGCCGCGGCTGGACGCTCGGGGGCAGGGGGAATTCGGGGGGCGGAGGCGGGGGAGATCCTGTCGGGCGAAGAGAACTATGCACATGCACCGGTCCTGGCCAGGCCCATCCTTGGCCCCAGGATCGGCGCGTGCGCCTTCCTGGCCAAAGCAGGAGGGCGTATGCGCCGATCCCGATCCTGGGCCCAGGATGGGCCTGGCCAGAATCGGTGCATGTGCATAGTTTTTGTTTCCTCTATCCTGGCGGAGTTGCCGCGAGTAGCTTCGCCCTGCGCCATCCCCGCCCAGGGGCGGCGCGGGCGGTTTCTTGCAGGTTTCTACCGCGCGTCCCTTTTGACGGAGGTTGCTCGAGCTCGGCGGCGCAGAATGCGCGCGAGGCGCAGGCGGGGTTGGGTCTTCTTCGTTTCGCGCCATCCCCGCCCAGGGGCGACGCGGGAGCTCTCACGCATGGAGCTGCCGCGACTAGCGGCGCCCCCGGCGATGGAGGGTCGGCTCTGCCCCGGCCTGCGCTATCCCCGCCCGGGGGCGGCGCAGACGCTTTCCCGCAAGTTGCTGCCGCGCTTAGCGGCGCTCCCAGTGATGGAGGTTGCGCGAGCTCTGCGGCGCAGAAAGCATGCGAGGCGCCCGCGGGGTTGGGCCCACCTTGTTCCGCGTCTTCCCCGCCCGGGGACGCATGGAGTTGCCGCGATTGGTGGCCCCCCTGGCGGTGGAGGGTTGGTTTTGCCCCCGCCCGGGGCCGGCGCGGGCGATTTTTCGCGCGTTTTCGCAGCGATTCGCGGCGCCCCCAGCGGCGGAAGTTGCGCGGGCTTTGCGGCGCAGACCGCGCGCGAGGCGCCCGCGGGTTTGGGTTTATCTCGCTATGACCCCCCCCGCCCAGGGACGCAGCTGGCGCGGACCCCCCCGGGAGTCGACGCAATAAACGACGGCCTTGGTGGCCCCGCAGCCGGGCCTCCTGGCGGCGGAGGGCAGGCCCCGTCGAGGCCTGGCCGCCCGCGGTCAGAAGGCCACCCCAACCCGGTCAGAAGGCCACCCCGCAGCCCCTGGCGGACCCCGTCGCGCGCGCGAAGGCAGCGCGCAGCAGCGGCTCGACACCCGAGCAGCGCGCGGCAGCAGGCGGCGGGGCAGCGACGCGGGGACCCCCTGGCTCGGCCTCGCACGTCGCCACCCGCGCGCCCGTCGCTCCTGGGGCCGAGCGCGGGCCGTGGACGGCCAGGTTTTCGCGGCCCTCCCCGGCGCGGCCGCGGACCAGAGGCTGCCCTGGCAGAGCGCGCCGACGGCCCGCGCGGCCGCCGCGGCCCGGCGAGCCTCTCGGGCGGCCGCTGCGCCCAGTGGCCAGAACGCAGGGCCCGCAGGCCAGCGCGGCGCCGCCCCTGGAGGCGGGCAGAGCGGCAGACGAAGCGGCCGTCCGTCGCTTGTCAGGAGGGGGAAAAACGCGACACAATGAATCGTCGACCCCCAGGAAGACGCGGGAAAATATGGTAAGTGGGGGGGAGACAAAAACTTTTGAAAATATAGGAAAACATTGGGAATCCTTTTAACTGTGTGTATTTATTGGTGCCCCAGTTCCCGTTCAGCTTGGTCAGCCAAGGCCGCGTCACCCCTGTCCGTCTGCCCGCCCCCCCCCCCCGCCAGCGGTTCGGGCGGCCCCTGTCCGCTGAGCAGCGGCGACGGCGTCGCCTCCGCAGTTGGCGGCCTCACGGCGGCACTGGGCCAGGACGACTGCGACGGCGACTCTCTTTCTCCTGGCCCACCAGGGCCCAGAGGGAACCGACAGAGCTCTTGCGCGAGACGCCGCCGCGCTCAAAGGCGCACCTAGTCCGAGTGGGGAGGAGGGCGGCGGCCTGCGCGGCCCCGGGGTCGGCGGGGCCAGCCGGCGACTGGGTCGTCGCCGACAAGCATCCGCGCGCGTCGCCCCTCGGGCTCCTCGCCCCTCCCCTGCAACGGCGGCCGTCGGCGGCCGCGGCGCCGCGGGCTGCTCCAGCGCCAGCCCTCGAGGGGGGGGGGGGCGCCTCTGCCTGCAGGGCGCGAGCTTCTGCTGCCCGCCGAGAACTGACACCTGGGCCGCGTTGCTCGACGCCGCGTCCATTTGGATTCGTTCAGTTCGGATTGCAGGAAGCATCGCAAGGGGCGGGCGTGTCCTGGGGATGTCCCAACGCGCGCCCTGCTCGACTTCCTCAGCTCGACGGGGGCCCTGGCGGCTCGGGTCAGGAGGATGCGGCAGATAGGCGGTGGACCTGCGGCGGCCTGGGATAGGTTTCGCGTTCTGCGCTGCGGCGGCGCCCGCGACCCCACCCGGCGCGACGCCGCCGCCCCCCGCTGCTTCCTCCTCCGCGCGCCGCCCCCCTGGGCGACGCGCGGCCCCCTGCGTTCGCAGGCGCAGGAAATTGCATCGATTGAGTGCACCTTAAGTCGGCTATGCGCTGTCCACCCAGACAGCGCGCGGTCCCCGACGGTCTTTGGCCGCTGCTTCGACGCGGGAAACTGCGCCGACTAGGTGCCGCACCCAAGACCGGCCAGGCGCTGCCCGCCCAGACAGCGCGCGGTCTCCGCGGCCGCGGCGAGGGCCGCCCGGACAACTGCAGCGCTGGCGCTGGGCCGCCTGGCGCCGAGGCGCCGCCTGATGCCCCCCCCGCAGGCGGGGCGCTCCTCCCTGCCGCCCTCCCCAATTCCCGGCGCCTGCCCCCTCGCCCCTCCGCGCGCCGTCACGGCGCCGACGCTGCAGCCGCGGCTGGCAGCGATCCACTGGCGATGGCGCTTCTGGGTCTCGCGCTTCGTCGCAGCCCTCGCGCTGCTCCCGTCGGGGGCAGCGTTTGCTGATGGCTGTCTGAAGTTTAGATTGCCCCTTTCATTACTTGCAGTACCTCGTCGACCCACCGAGGCGGTTCCGCCCCGCCTGCCCTTACTTGCAGTACTTCGTCGGACCACGCCTCGGCGGCTCTACCGCGCGTGCCCATGCGTTTCGCGCACTGGGCTTCTTCAGCGCCCGTGGATGCACCGACGCCGCTGCGCGGCCGCTGCCGCCGCCCCCGCTGCGGATGCTGGCCGCGCCAGCGCACTCAGGTTGGAAGCTCCCCCCGCCTGGGCGCCCCCCTCCCTCCGCCTCCGCGGCCGCCCTGTCTGTATCAGCCTCTCCTCATTCGCTCTTCTGTCGCCCAGTTTAGCCCGACCAAGGTGCAGTAACCTCTGCTTTGCCACTCACGAAAAAGTGCGTATTCGATTTCTGTTCCCCGGGCTCGTTCTGGAGGCCCGGGGCCATCAGAACGGGACCGAAACAAAGTGGAACCCATATGCGAACATGGCCATTGGGCCTTGTGTGAGGCTCCATATGGGGCCATGAAACTTGTGAGGGGTGAGCCGAACTGGACGGGGCGGACACATGCGAACATGGCCACTGGAACAATCGCTGGAGCTCCTTGTGCGGCCATGGTGGGGCGGCCACATGCGAACATGGCCACAGGGGTCTTACGCTGAGCTTCCTATTGGGCTACGAACCGCGCGAAATCAGTACCGAAGTGTGCGGGGCGGCCACGTGCAAGCATGGCCGCTGGGGCAATTCGTGAAGTTCCTCATATGGCCATGAAACGCGCGAGGGGTGTGCTTACATGGGTGGGGCGACCACATGCGAACATGGCCGCCGGGGCATTCGGTGGAACCCCCCGTGAGGCCACGAAACGCGTGAGGTGTGTGCCGAAGTGGGCGGGGGGGGCACGTGCGAACATGGCCATTGGGGCTTTTTGGTGGGGCTCGTTATGGGGCCACGAAACGCGTCTGGGATGTGCCGAAATGCGTGCGTGGGCCACATGCGAACATGGCCAGTGGAGTTTTCTGTGGAGTTTGCTCCCTATGGGCCCACGAAGCACGTGAGGGGGGGGGGCGAAATTTTCGACATGGGCGGGGGGAGGACGAGGAGGAGGAGGGGGAGGAGGGGGAGGAGGAGGAGGAGGCGGAGGAGGGATGAGGAGGAGGAGGGACGAGGAGGAGGAAGAGGAGGAGGAGGAGGAGGAGAGAAGGTCGAGGACGTGGACGAGGAGGACGAGGAGGGGGGAGAGCAGGAGGAGCAGGAGGAGGAGCAGGAGGAGAGGAGCAGGAGGAGGAGGAGGAGGAGGAGGGGGAGGAGGAGGAAGAGGAGGAGCAAGAGGGGGAGGAGGTGGAGGCGGAGACGGAGGCGGAGGCGCAGACGGAGGCGGAGGCGGAGGCGGAGGCGTGAGCGGGGGCGGAGGCGGAGGCCGAAACGGAGGCGGAAGAGGAGAAATATGAGGAAGAGAAAGAGGAGGACGAGGAGGAAAAGGAGGAGGAGGAGGAGGAGGAGGAGGAGGAGGGGGCGGAGGAGGAGGAAGGGGGGGAGGAAGAGGAATCATAATAAGAATGATAATAATAATGATACGAATTGTCATATTACTAATACTATCAATACTAATACTTCCAGAATGCCAATAATACCAATACGAACAATATTCGCAATAATAATATTATGTTTAAAAGTATTAATACTAGCACGAATAACACTAATAACAGCCATAACACGTAAGTGTCATACTAATAACAACATTTGTAATACGGATAGTAATATTAGTGAGAACAGTAAGAACACGACGAGGAGAAGGAGGAGGCGGAGGAGGAGACGGAAGAGGAGGAGGAGGAGGAGGAGGAGGAGGAGGAGGAAAAGGAGAGGAGAGGAGAGGAGAGGAGAGCAGAGGAAACGCGGGGCCATGTCTCTGCAAAACGTGGACCCAACATCATCTCAGGATGGTGGCAAAGCCACGGCGAGGCGGGTCGGAGGCAAGCGCGACTTTCGCAGGTCGGCGGTGCACCGCTTGCGGCGCTTCCCTGGCGGCGCCTCCGGCGCCTCCCCTGGCTCGCTCCGCGCGCCGGGAAGGGGCGAGCGGGGAGGGTGAACGTCCATCGCCGACCCAAGAATTCCGCACGGACCTCCGCACGTGTATGTGTTCGTGCGTCTCAGTACTCTTCCCACGAGGCAGGTGGACAGCCTCCTGTCGTCCCTGAGGAGTGTCCACTGCGACTCGGAACTGCAGAGCGGCATGTCGGAGGCGACGACAGGGGCGAACAGCACACGGGGGAGCAACACATGGGGGCGCCGACGATCTAGGCCTTCGACGAGGCTCCCGGGCGAACACACGTGCAATCTCCGCCCCTGGGCTCGTCGCCCCTATCGTCGCCGCCGAGCATTGAGTACTCCACGGGGGGGCTTCTCTCGCGGGTGGGCAACGTCACGAGCCCGAGGGACTGCAGCGAGAGGTGCAGGGGCCTCCCGTCGTGCGCGGCGTGGACCTGGGGCTCGCGCCGCGCCGCGGCGGAGCTCGCCGGCGCGTGCCTCCTGAGAGAGATGGAGCCCGGCGCCCGGGCGCTGCCAAAGTCCGGCGATCGCAAACATGGATCACCCCTCCCCCTCCTCCTCCTCCTCCTCCTGCTCCTCCTCCTCCTCCTGCTCCTCCTCCTCCTCGTGCTCCTCCTCCTCCTCCTCCTGCTCCTCTTGCTCCTCCTCCTCCTGCTCCTTCTCCTCCTCCTCCTTCTCCTCCTCCTCCTCCTCCTTCCCCCCTCTTCTCCCCTTTTTAGGCGAGCGCAAACATGGATCAAGGGTGCGTGGATTAGCGACGGGTCCCATTTCCATGGGAAGTCGCGGATCTCCGCATATTGAAATACTAGATACAACGAGCTGGGCGTCGAGCCATGCGAACCGATCTTCCCAGGCAGGTCTGATAAACTCGACCATGTTGTAACCGCTAATGCTTGGCATTCTTCTATCGTATCGGGAACCTGTGGAGTGACTGGTCGAAGCAGTCGCATCATGTTGCAAAGGTGGCTGACGCGGAAACCAGCATCAATATCACGGAGCATCACCGCTTCCACCAACATATGTTTAAATAAATGAGCGCCCCCCAGCGGATGCAAGCAAATGCGCGAACTCTTCAGCTGACTCTTTGCATGCGCAGCGCGCCGATCTCGACTTTCAAGGCAAAGCAGACAGACTGGCCACGGTCATTAAGAAAGCTATGGCGCCCACCTTGCCAATCCGGACTGCCGCCCAAATGCTGGAAAACAGCACTGCGCCAACAAGGAGTACGCACAGCATTTGAACAGGCGTATTCAAAAATCAGCCCGCGTTGATCGACGCAGATGTCTCGACGATGCGATCGAAGAGGATGAATGGCGAACTATTCGATCTCTCAGGAAAAGAGAGCCAGCACCTCAGGGTCGCTATCGGGATTTGAATGGCCAATTGGGGGACGGCGCGCACAAAGCTGACGCGATGGCAGACTACCTCGGAAAGGTTCCGTGGCATCTTCCTGTAGCTGCCGACCCGCCCCCCAAACTAGAGACGGATTCTGGGCACTTGCGCAATTTTCTTCGAGACGGAACATTATAATAATACGAGAGGCAACGCACATAAGTTGGTGTTCAGCGCGCTTCTGGAGGCGATGGCATGCCATCCCAATTATGGCAAGCTATATGGCGAGATGAACGCGATGCGGAGATCCCGCGGGATCTATGCATTGCATTCAAGCAGCAGAAGGATATGCCGAGGATCTGGCGAGAGGCGCGAATTTATCATTGACCAAGAAGGGCGACGCACTCCCGCCGTCAAACTACAGGCCAATTCTTTCATTGACAGTGGGCTATAAAGTTCGGGCCAGACGGAGGTTCAAACAGGAGGGCGTTGAAGAGCAATCACTGGAATCCACGTACGGTACCAGACCCTAGCGCGGCGCGAATAGCACGTTCTTGGCACGACGGCTTATCCATGCCGACTTGGAGGATAATGGTGGCGCGCTGTTGTTTGTTATTTGTAGATCGGAGCAACGCGCTCGACCGCATCCGACCAGAAGGGCTTCATCACGCATTCAGACCTTTCAAGTGCCGCCAGCAATGGGCCGGATGGTTGCAGGAATCTGCAGGGCGCGAACGCTGGTTGTCAGACATTGTCGTTCCACGGCGCCCATCAGAACACAAGCAGCAGGAATAGCGCAAGGCGGTCCTGCGTACCTGTACACTCCAGGAGATGTTTAAGAAAACCCCAGTTTTCGGCCAGAGTCTCGATTATTCTTAATGCTTCACTGTAAATCCTAACATTTGAATAGACATTCTGAGTTTGATTTCAAATTCTGAGACTATGAATTTCTTAACCCATGATTTCTAAAGCATTTCGCAGGTTGTACTTGTTTATCGTAGCCATGTCAGTGTCATTGCAGATCGTCGGTCCGTAAATGACTGGGCACACCTCGGAAAGTATAACGCCAACGCACCTCGTCAGTCCCGGCGCGCCGCGCGCGGACGACGCGATGTTGGCGGCAGGATTGCCAGAGCACTTTCGGAAGCACCTCGAAGCAGTCGTTCGGATCGGGAGGACTTTTGCGTTGGATCCGAACGTGGGTAAAACCACGTATCGAAACAATTTACGCCGTGTGGAACCACGTCAATGTAAGCAAGCAGCTCAGGTTTCAGATGCGTGCGACGTTCCCGATTTGCCCAATGGCCTCGAGTCGCGCACTGTTCTTATGCAAGCCAGGCAAAGTTGGAAGCGTTCCATGCTGGGTGTCTCAGGAAAATGTTCAAGATCGTCCCTGCATATTCTTTTCGCGTCAGCAATGCTAGTGTTCAAATGGTGCATGTGCGAAGAGATTGTCCGACCCATCGCCGCGATGCTTTGTTCTTGCACTGCCAGCTCGCCCGTGATCTCACGAGCAGCCTGCAAAGACGCTTATTTTGTTCAGCCGACGCCCAGAACAAACTGATTCCAAGATTTTCGGGAGCGCTCGAGCGAGAGGCAGGGCACGTCTGCAAAGAACAAAGTACGCCTGTTCCCGAACCGTGAAAGTTTCACGGGGGGGCCCTGACAGGCCCCAGGGGCTCCAAAAAAACGAATTGCAATGGCACGCCACTGTCAAAATATGGTTCAAGTAGAAATCGTTCAGTTCGTATCTCCTCTCGTTCCTCCTTCACCCCTTCCCCTTTTCCCTCCGTCCCTCCTCCACCCCTCTCCGCGGCTTCTCGGCAGGTCAACGAATCGCAATACATTCAGTGATTATGTATGTGCCTAGCTGCGCCGTCACTTGCTGCCGTTTTCTTGCCAGTGCGCATTCCGGGCGCGGCTCTTGTCTGTCCGTCGACGTTGCCTTTTAATCTTCAGGCCATGCCTCGGCGTTCCGGCGGCCGTCCGTCACGATCCGGGCACCCCCCGAACGCTCGCGGCGAGGCGCGGCCGCTGGACAGTATCTCGAGGCTGGAGAGCCGCTGAGAGCCGGCGGAGAGACCGAAAGCCTCAAACTTTCGAGCCTCCCTGGGCCGCACCCCCCCCTCCTCCTCCTCCTCCTCCTCCTCCCTCCTCCTCCTCCTCCTCCTCCTCCTCCTCCTCCTCCTCCTCCTCCTCCTCCTCCTCCTCCTCCTCCTCCTCCTCCTCCTCCTCCTCCTCCTCCTCCCCCCGAGCGTTGCCCGTCACCCCCCAAGGCACGATGCCCAGCGTGCGCAGCCGGCCCGGCGTCGTGTCCGGGCTCGCGTGCCAGCGAGAGGGCGGGGCCCCCGCCGCCCTGCTGCGGGGCGCCCCGGGCGCCCGCTCGCTCCAGCAGCCCCTCGCGGCGCCCAGCGCCAAGGTGGCGACGACGGCGGCGGCGCTGGCGACGGCACACGGCGGCGGCGGCGGCGACGGCGACGTGCGACGGCGCCGCCGACGACGTCGACGGCGGCGGCGGCGGCGGCTGCGGTGCCGCCGATGGCGACAACGCCGGCGATGGCTTCGACGTCGGTCGCGGCCAGGGCGGCGGCGGCGGCCACGGCAGGAGGCGGCGGCGGCGGCGGCAACGGCGGCGGCGGCAGGCCGCAGCGGCCGAGGCCGCCCCGCCCCTCGGCGGCGCGGCGCCCAGGGGGGGCCCCCGCGGCGGCGCGGCGGAGGCGGGCGGGGCGCCGAGCCTCCGCGCCGAGGAGGAGGAGGAGGAGGAGGAGGAGGAGGAGGAGGAGGAGGAGGAGGAGGCGGCCACGACGACCACGGCCACCGCCGCGACCACGGAGCCGACGCCCGCGGAGCAGGCCGCTGCGCAGACGCTCTTCTGCTTCTCGCTGATGCTCCCGGACAGCTGGGGCTATGATTCACCACCCACCAAACCACCCCAACCCAACCCGAAAAATCAGATTTACCCTCGATTTCCAGTGGGGGGGGGTCGGGAAACGTCGAAAAAACACGTGTGGAACCCTTACCCCCCCCAACCCGAAATTCGGGTCTTCGGGTTGGGTTGGGGTGGTCTGGTAGGTAGTCAATGATGCTCCAATCTGTTTTGGCCTTGATCGCAGGGGAGACTTTCGAGCACCAAGGGAGACTACCGAAACCCCAGGCCTTTCACGTGTCGGGCCCTGGGAGGGGACTCTCGTTCGACACCGTTGTGACACCTTTCTGGGTGCTCGGAAAAGTATGTATGGGATGTGGTTCTTAAGTACGATGGGAGCAACATACAAGGGCTCCCTCGAGGGCGCGAAGTTATTCGCGCTTCGCGCTTCGCGGTCCTCGTTCCTTCTCCCCCTCCTCCTCGTCCTCCTATTCTCCCTTTGGGAGGGCGGCGCGAGAGCGCGAAGTTATTCGCGCTTCGCGCTTCGCGCAGCGCGAAGCGCGAAGTTGGGAGCCCTTGATGGGAGCAACATACAGCTGAGGCAGCGTTCGGGCGGGCGGGAGGGTGCGCATCACTCAGATTCGCCGTATCATGATTTGTTTTTCCGTAGGCTGTTTTTTGGGGGCCGAGGATCAGATCGGAGGGCTAGAAGAGTCGAGTCCACGTTCCCAACGCGTGGGAGGCAGCACGGAGTGATTTTTGATCAGATTAGAGACTGCCAAACCAAAAACAAAAGTATCAATGCCACTTGGAGACGTCTGGAGGTCTGAGGTGGCCCAACACTTGTTCCGGCCAGCAGGAAGGGCCGGCAGGTTCGAGGATTTGGGCGGCGCCGGAGGCGACGCCAGGGGGATCAGCTCCGATCCGGGAAGTCCGCGCGGACCTCCGAATTTTGATGTTTATGTCAGTGTTCGTTCCCTTAGCACCGCCGATTCCCGTCCGATGTCTCCCCCCAGAGCCGGTCCCCCCTGTCGTTCTCCCTGAGGACAGCTACGAGCAGGAGCTGCTGCGCATGCAGTACGGGGAGGCCACCTCCATCTTCGCGTGCGACGGATACGTCGTGTACAGCAACGCGACCATTCAGGTCAGCGGCGCCCTCGCGACCAGCGTGGTCGACGTCAGCCTCGACTGCGAGCTGGGCGGCGAGTTTCACGTGGCGATGAACACGGCGATCTTCATGGCCGTGTGGGAGAAGCTCAGCAAGGACGGGGAGTATCTGAAGTTCGCCTGGACTGTGAAGGTTCGGAGGTCGATCGACCTCCTACCCTGACACGTCGATCTGCGAATTGGCCGTTTTCGCGGCCGTCAATTTTGCGGCTCCAGGTCCGTCGGTTTCAGTCCTACGCCGTTTTCTTTCTAAAGGTTGGTGTACTGAAGGGAGGCTTGTCCACCGCTCCAAGGTGGACCCCGACACGGTGTTCTTCCCAGCCCGGCTGCGGATGGTGCTGATAGCGCACCAGCCACAGGATCGGCGGCTGCGCCCCCGGGAGGAGGGCAGAGGGTGCCGGCCTTCTCAGAAGCCGGAGGGGCTTCGCAGGGGCAATCACAGGGGCCCTGCTTGGCATCGCTCGGACGTGTGCATGTTTCCTTCGGCGAGGACCATCGAGGAGCATCCTTGAGCATCTGGCGAAAAACCAGGCACGAAACCGAACAAACACAGGACCTGGACGTCCGAGCGATGGTAAGGGATGGGTTCGGAGGATCGCGCCGCATCGCCGATGCATCGCCGATGTGGCCCGATGTGCATCCCGACTTGCTTCGCGTCCACGTCGCCGATGCATCGCCGTCTTCGATGGTGCATCGCCGATGCACTGCGGATGCATCGCCAATGCATCGGCGATGCGGCGCGATCCTCCGACCCCATCTACTCCGACCCCATCTGGGGGGCCTCTAATGCCAGTCCCCCCCTGTCGTTGCCCCTCTGTGTCTCAGAAGCCCTCCCGCTTTCTGAGACGTCGCCTGTGGCGTCGAAGGGAGCTTCGCAGAAGGCTTCTCAGAGGGCGGGGGGAGTTCTGAGAAGCCCCGCCGCCTTCTTCCGAGAAGGCCGGCTTTGGGGGTCCTAGCTCGGCTCCCCCGTGAAGCTTTGGGACTATATGGGAGGAGGGAGGAGGGAGCAGGGAGGATCAAGGGAGGAAAAAACACCCGGACTGGACAATTGGCGTTTACTAAACGGGCTTGGGCGTTTACTAAACAGCCCTGCCCTGTTCGATTCCTTCAGTGGGGGCGTTTAGTAAACGGCTTCGCGTGTCGGGGTGGTTATTTTGTGGTGGATTGTTTGGCTCTATAGAAGGAGGAGGGAGGAGGGAGGGGGGAGGAGGGAGAAGGGAGAAGGGAGAGGGGAGGGGGGAGGGGGGAGGAGGGAGGAGGGAGGAGGGAGGAGGGAGGCGCGCTCTCGGCGAGGCGCAGCTGCTGGGGGCCGCGCCGAGGCTGGAACGCCGCGGAGAGCCAGCGCAAACCTGGAGCTTCGAGGCTTCGTTACTCAGGAGTGGAAAAAACCCACAGACACAAGGAATCGCGGATTCCCCCGAAAAGATTGGAAACTATGGGACGTGGGGGGAAGACAAACACCCAGAAACATATAGGACAACACATGGGAAATCCTGTTAATTATTTGTGTCTGTTTGTTTGTGTGTCCCAGGGCCCATTCACTAAGGTTGTTCCTGAAGCGCGCTGCGCGTGGCGGCTGCTGTAGGTGCGCCTATGCCCGAATATGGTCAAGGTAGGTTGGGTCGCTGGGTTGCGCCGCACCGCTGATTCATCGGCGATGCATTCGCGACGTCGTCGATGTATAGTGTATAGGCGATGTCGTCGCGCTGACATTTTCTAACTTCCTCTGGTCGTCTCTGACGATCATGTCGATCCGATCGATCCGATTATATGTCGATTCCAGCTGGCCCGATCCGATTCGAATCCGATATATTCCGACGTTCCGACGTGGCCCGATTATCGCACGACGTTGTTGTGCATCCCGTAGCAGCCGATCCGATTCGATTCCGATGCCGTAATTTTAAGTGGGGCGCGTGTCCTTCCACAGGAGGAAAATTCAATAGTAGTCAACACACAGCCTGGGGATGGTCTGTTGGCTATTTCTGCCTGTTTTGAGCATTTGTTGAGTACTTGCTATTTTTCGTCCCAACGCTTGTAGGAGCACATGCCCGACTTCACCGTAATCACCGATGCGGCCCCATCCGATCCACGTTCCGATTCGATCTGGTTCTGCGGCTGGATGTTGACTGATCTTTGCGGGAGCGGAGCTGGCCAGCGCGAAGGGGGGCGGGCCCTGGAGGAATATGGGCCCGGAAGGTCTTCGGAGGACCTCGGCGGATCTCCGCAGCATCCGGTGCACATGTCGCTTCGATCTGCGATGTCGGCGGAGCTTGCCAGAGGTCGCCACGAGGAAGGGAGCGAAGTAATTCGCGTTTCGCGGTATGCCTCCTCTTCCTCTGCCTCCTCTTCTTATTCTTCTTCCTTCTCCTCCTCCTCCTCCTCCTCCTCCTCCTCCTCCTCCTCCTCCTCCTCCTCCTCCTCCTCCTCGTCCTCCTCCTCCTCCCCCCGGGGGGGCTTGCGCCAGGCCGGGAGGTTGCACGGCAACGGGGGGTGGCAAGTTGCATCACCTCCCTGCCCCCTGTCCAAGGGGGGGGGAACTGGACCGGACAGTGGCACAGGGAGGCCCCTCGCAGCATGCTCGAATTGCCAGCCATGGGGCCAGGAGCTGACCCCATGGGAGGGGACCAAGAAGTAGCAGAAACACAGGAACTCGGAGGTCCGCGCGGATTTCTCGGATCGGCGCTGGACCCCCCGCCCTGGCGCGCCTCGGCGCCAGGGGCGGCGCCGAGGCGCCGCCAGGGGGGTCCAGCGCCGATCCGTGAAATCCGCGCGGACCTCCGAGTTCTTATGTTTATATGCCACTTTTTGCTCCCCTGCAGGATCGGGGGAGCGTAAGACCCGGGTTTGCCAGGACTCGGGTTCGCCACGGTTTTTGTTGACGACCGCGCCTCGGATTTTGACGAGGAGGAGTTTCGTGGGATGTCTGCAGCGGGAGGCCTCGTCAAAATGCAGGCTCGGCCTCGTCATTTTTTTGACGACCTCGTCGGGTATTTCCGAGTCCCCTGTACCCAGGTCTTAACCCCAGGAAGCATTTAAGAACCCCCCCGGCGATATCTTAGCACCGCATTTTTATTCGATATTCCGAGGGGCCGAAATAACCGCACGATAGGTTTAGCACCCGGACACCCTCCTCAGGAGAAGGCCCAGAGGGGAAACCCCAGGTGACTTGGGCCCTGACAGGCCTTGGGCCCCGAGGGAAGGAGGGGGGCGAGGGAGGAGGCGGAGGAGGAGGAGGAGGAGGAGGAGGAGGAGGAGGAGGAGGAGGAGGAGGATGAGGGGGCAGGAGGAAGTTCGTGGGTGGAGGAGAGGAGGAGGAGGAGGAGGAGGAGGAGGAGGAGTAGGAGGAGGAGGAGGAGGAGGACTCCTGGTGCCAGGTAACGCTTCCAGGGTGCGGAAGGGTTATCGATTTGCCGAAAGGGGGGGGGGGGGGGTTCTTAAATGCTTCCTGGGGTTACGTCCCCCTGACAGGAGCTGGCCCAGTGGGGATCCCTTGCGTCCCCCCGAAGAGTCCCGCGCGGGGGAATCGGGCCGGCCCAGGCACGCCAGGCGCGAGTCGCAGGGGCCGCGGCGTGTCCCTGCCAAGAAACCGCGGCGCGTCACCCTCGGCAGGCCGGCCCCCTCCCCCCGGGGGGGGGGGGGGCGCGAGCGCGCGGGAGCGCGAAGGTGCTCCCGCAGTCCCGTGACGTCGGGCCTGTCCACAGGGGGAATGTTCGCAGGTAGTCAACAAAAATGCTCCGTCCAAAAGATGCTCTGGGGACTCTTTCGTGACTATGTTTTTTTTTCTCTCCCATTTGGGATTCTTATTTGAGCATCTTTTATTTCTCGTCGAAAACCCCCCTGTAGCAGGACACGCCCGACGCAACAGTAATGCGCACAGGGGGGCACAGGACGGCGGAGGCCTCTTTTGATACCACGAGCGTCTCTTGGGATGCCTCTCGGGGGGCTCCTGGAGAGGGTCCGGGGGAGAACTTCCGGGGGGGCCTCTTCGGGCGTCCTGGGGACCTCTCGGGGGCTCCCTGGGGCGTCTTGGGGGGGGCCTCGGGAGCGTTGGGGCCATCTCGGGGCGGAAGGCTCGACATGTTCCTTCGAGCTCCCCCCTCTTGGGCCGCTCTTGGGGCCCCTCTTGGATGCCCCAGAAGAGCCGTCTCGGGGGCCAGCATATTACGTCGGGCATGTACTTCTGCAGAGGAAGATTCCAAAACAGTCAAAGAATAGTCTGGGGACGGCTTCTTGAGTATGTTTTTGACTATTCTTGAAGATGTTTTTGCGATTTTTCAGGATTTCGCCACAAATCCGCCTGCAGGAGGACATGACCGACCTCAGGCCAGCAGCGAGCATCCGAGGATGGGGCGCCCCACGGGCGCGCCGGCCGAGAGGACCACTTCAGGAAGGCGGCCCAGGACGCGCACGGGTCTGCCGTCGACGCTCTGCGGTGCGGCTCCCTCGCCTCCACGACGACGACGCCGACGGCGGCGGCGACCACGACAGCGGCGACGACGACGACGACGACGGCGACGGAGACGACGGCGACGGCGGCGACGACGACGACGACGGCGACGGAGACGACGGCGACGGCGGCGACGACGACGACAACGGCGGCGGCGGCGGCGACGACGAAGACGACGGCGACGGCGACGGCGACGACGGCGACGACGACGACGTCGACGGCGGCGGCGACGACGGAGACGGCGACGGCGACGACGGCGGCGGCGGCTGCGGCGACGACGACGGCGACGACGAGGACGACGCCGCCGACGGAGGCGACGGCGACGGCGATGACGCCGACGACGGCGACGGAGACGACGGCGATGACGCTCTGGAGCCGACGGCTTCCCCCAGGGAGGGGAGCAGGGGGGGAGGGGAGCACCACCCCGGGGCCTTCTCTCCTCCTCTTCCCTGGGAGCGTTCCCCCGCCGCCCAGGCCCGTCGCGCCTTCTCCAGGCAGACCTCCTCGGCCTCTGAGGCATGCTCACGTCGTGAAACAAACAAGTCACGACGGCGGGTTTGTGTAGCTTCAAGTCGGACCTGTCCCTCTACAGGAGGAATGTTCAAACATTGTTTTCAAAAGTAGTATGGCGATGTTTTTTTTCAGTCTTTTCCATCATTTTGGAGCATTTGTTGAATATGTTTTATGTTTCGTCGAAGATCCCCCTGTAGGGGGACACGCTCGACTTCACTGTAGTGCTATCCTGCCTCTGGAGGCCTCGCTGGGCCCGGGGACCGCCAGAAAACGAGTCGAGACGAAGCACAAAAAGGTCGGGACTCGTGTGGACCCCGTTTTGGCAAAATCAAGGTATCGCATCTTCGGGTCCATACAGTCGAGGTTGATTAGTAAGTGTCTGCCTCTTCCGATCTGAAAAATCGGAAAGGCCTCGTTTCCCGGCGGCATGCGACGATGAAGCTGGAGATCAGAACAACCAGAACGGCAGCGGGGGATGTGATCCTGGCGGCGAAGCGGGAGGTTGCGGGCTGGGGCCCACAGTGGCACCGATCACACAGGCTCCACTTCTGGCCCTGGCGTGTGGGTGCATTGGCGCTTGCTCTTGACGCGGCTGCTCAGACGTTTGCTCTCGGGAGCCCTTGCTCCAGCTCTGGCCTCGGCAGGCCTTCCTCTCGACTGATGCCGGTGGCACCGCCAGGGAGGACGGTGCCGGGCCTGCCCGCAGAGGCCGCGCGAACCTGGCCAGACTCCAACGCAGGCCGACGCCGCGGCGACCCCGCCGCGGGCGCGCGAGGCGGAAGTGACGCCGCCAGCGGCCCAGAATGGGCCGTCACGGCACGATCCGGCGAGCCAAAAGCCGCCGACCGATCAGGGTTGACCGATCCACGCGATGCCAGAAACCAACGCCGGCGTCGTCACGACGCGGACTTGCCGTGTAGAGTCGTGGCATGACCAGGACGATGATGCAGATGGGCAGCCTCGTCGTGGTTGCCATGAGTCTCGCAGCAATCTCTTCCGCCTCCCTCGTTCTCGTTCCCTCCCTCCATCCCTCCCTGTTCCCACTGCTCCCTCCTTCGATCCGACATCCTTCGTCCCTCCTCCTGCTCGGACTTCTGGCCGAGGTCAGGGCTGTCCATCCCTCCCTCTGCCGCCACGGTGCGACGTATGGAGCGACGTCGGCGACGGCAGCTGCGCGGACACCTTCGAGTGGCCCATCGGCGAGAAGACCCTCCACGAGTGTGGGGTGGAGTGCGCCCGGTGTCCGGGCGGGCTGCGAACTGCATGCGGGCGAGTGGCGAGGATGAGAAGGCTCTTCGGACCCCGGGGGGCAGGGTGCTGAGACCGCCCCGACCTGCTCGCGACACCTGATGAGGCCAGCCGGGACGGGGGGGCCGTCTATGTCCCACCGGGGGTTAGTGGAAGGGTGGGGGGTGGGTAGTTAACCCACGGCGGGGATTGGGGACGGACCCAGCTGGATGCTTCAGGGGTCGTGTGGAGTGAGTTCCATCTAACCCAACCTTTGCCCTTTCCCAGCGCCTGTCTGTCCCCCCGAACCCAGACCTCTGACCTCACGGCGTTTTGTCAGTCTGTTGGGGGGGAAGCGAGAAGGGGCGGGCCTCCTCAGCAGGTTCGAAAGCCCTCGGGTCCTCAGAGAGGTTTTTACAGACCTCCCCGAAGACACAGAGAAAGGTCTCAGGAAGCCGGAGGGCTTTGGAGAAGCCCTGCCGCCTTCTGAGAAGGCCTTCTCCTTCTCATTTCACCCCCCTCGCCCTCGCCGCCAACAGGAGGAGGCAAGCGTGGGATGGCGACGGCGACGCCGACCCTCGACGAGGAAACAAATGCATAACCATAAACTTTCGGAGTGCCGCGTGGATCTCTTGTATCGGCGTCGGGCGCCCCTCGACGGTGCCTCCGGCCAAAATTTTGCTTATGCCGCAGAATCTGCTTCATCCAGTGAGTTTGAAGTCCAGTGGGGGTTCCGTGGCACCGCGAGGTCGTGCCCCCCTCCGTGCCGTCTTCTGAATGGGGCATCTCCGTCAGGTACCGCAACTGCAAAGGCTTCGCGTGGAGCGAGGAGCAGGGCTGCATTGTGCTCGGCGCCCTGGCGGAGGCCACGGGAGCCAGCCCCGGCTGGCAGCAGTACGAGAGGGTGCGCTCCGAGGGAGTGTACATCCCGGAGACGCAGCACTTGGACAAACATATGCTGTCGAAGGTACGCCCGGAATTCTTGGATCTGCGCTGGGTCCCCAGGCGGCGCCTCCAGCGCCATCCCTGGCGCGAGGAGGGTCCAGTGCCGGCCCGAGACATCTGCGCGGACCTCCGACAGCTTATGTCTATGCCCCTGCTGGGTCTCGTCGCGTCAACAACTGCAAGTACGGGCTCCACGGGCCGATCGAGGTCCTGTCCTCCGCAGCCGTGACGGCGCTCGTCCGTGGCCGGGAGAGGTGTGCCAAGAATTTCACCAGCGAGTGTGGCGGGGAGTGCGCTTGGGGCGAGGATCTGTTCATCGACCAGTGCCTGTGGAAGGTCTCGGACACTACTCTCAAGCTCGCACGCCCCCCCCCTGCGTCCATGGGGCAGAGACTGCACCGGTAGGATGTTTGTTTTACTGGCATGAAGTCGGGCGTGTCCCTCTACAGGAGGGATATTCAAAAATAGTCAAGACATAGTACGTGGACGATGTTTCGAGTATGTTTGGGCATTTTGTTGAGCATGGTTTTCCTATTTTAATTTTCGTCAAACGTCAGCCTGTAGGAGAACATGCCCGACTGAATACTGCCAGAAAAGCGCTGACAAGTGTCAGCGCTTCGGGATCTCCATGCATGGTACTGTGTTCTACTCAGCTTTTGCGTTGCGGGATCTATGAGGCAGTGGCCAGATCGATTAAGGAACTGGCCTGGCAGCAGTCGTCCCGCAGATATTGTTCGTTTTGCGATGCCCCCGGAATCTACAGAAGTCCTGGGCCTGCTTGGGAAGTTGCAGGGTACTCGACACATATGCCCCCGATATTTCTTTGCGCTAATCGCCAGACGTTTTACCGTTTTGTACACTGTCGAAACTCAGTGACGATGGATGACGTTCACGGGGTAGTTACGTTTCATTTCATTGTTGCCACTTCGGTTCATCGTTAATTATTCCGAGTTTCTTAATAAGCGTCGGGGGGGGGGGCATCACCCTCACCGACAGTCCCACATCGACCCCCGTCGCGGGCAGCCATCGCGCGCCGAAGGCGCTCCGACCCCCGTCGCAGCGCGACGACGAGGCGAGGTTGACCCCCGTCGGGGGGCACCCCCCACGCATTTTAAGAAACCCAGAGTAATTATATTAGGTCCAGGTGTTGTAGTTGCCTCTGAAACGATTTTCGGACGGGCGCACGGTCCAGGTGTTGTTGTTGCCAGCTTAGGCGTCCAGGGCGCACGGATCTTCTCCGTGCACCATTGTTCAGATTGGTTCGGGGCACCTGCAACAAGGTGCTGGGCATGGAGCGGCGAGATGCGCTCGACGTGCTCCTCGAGGATCACTGCGACCCCCCGGACGGGTGGGACGAGTGCAGCAAGGAGTGGAGAAGCAGAACGTGGCAAAACAAAACTTGGCTCTCCGCGTATCCCCCAAATCCCATCCAGAATTATGATTTTCCGACTTACTGTAGCCTTGACCACCAGAAATAATTTCGAGCACCAAGAAAGCACCGAAATTGTAGGCTTCTCACGCGCCGTGCCCTGGGAGGCGATACTCGTTCGGCATTGCTCCAATACTTCTCTGGGTGCTCGAACTCATGTCTGAGGTTCGGTCCTGAAGTGCGATGGGGGCAACACACGTCCAGAAGCGAGGCCCGGGCGAGGTGCACCGATCAGGGAAGTGTGGGAGCATGCAGCTGGTCGAACAAAGAGGGAAGTGTGGTAGCTCGTGGACCCTCCTACGGCTTTCCAGGGGGTCTCTTCGGGGCCCTCGGACGCGAGGGCGGGTGCGCCCAGGTCGCCAGAGAATTGGCGGCAGGGCAGAGGAGGAGGAGGAGGAGGAGGCGGAGGAAGAGGAGGCGGAGGAAGAGGAGGAGGAGGAGGAGGAGGAGGAGGGAATTGGGGAGGAGGAGGAGGAGGAGGAGGAGGAGGAGGAGGAAGAGGAGGAGGAGGAGGAGGAGGAGGAGGAGGAGGAGGAGGAGGAGGAGGAGGAGGAGGGAGAGGAGGAGGAGGGAAGAGGAGGAGGAGGAGGAGGAGGAGAGGAGGAGGAGGAGGAGGAGGAGGAGGCGGGAGGAGGGCGGAGGGCGGAGGGCGGAGGGCGGAGGAAGGAGGGAGGAGGAGGAGGGAGGAGGGAGGAGGAGGAGGAGGAGGAGGAGGAGGAGGAGGAGGAGGAGGAGGAGGAGGAGGCCGCCCAAAGAAGACCGCAGGTTGGGACACCTCGGCCTGGGCCTGCCGAGGGGGTCAGCGGGGCCCGCGGGCGCGCCCCGGCTCCGAGCGTCCGCCCGGGCTCGGGCAGCTCGGCGAGAGTCGGGAGGGGGAAAAATGCACACAGACACAATTCGGGGAAGCGTAAGACCCGGGTTTGCCAGGACTCGGGTTCGCCATCGTTTTTTGACGACCGCGCCTCGGATTTTGACGAGGAGGAGTTTCGTGGGATGTCTGCAGCGGGAGGCCTCGTCAAAATGCAGGCTCGGCCTCGTCATTTTTTTGACGACCTCGTCGGGGATTTCCGAGTCCCCTGTACCCAGGTCTTACGTCCCCCTGAACAGACACAATGAGTCGTCGGTTCTCAGGAAAATATGCGAAAGTATGGGAGGTGGGGGGGAGACCAAGACCCAGAACATCTGGGGAATCCTGTGATTTTGTTTGTATTTGATTTGTGAGTCCCAGGGCCCCTTCAGAGAGGGCGGGCGAGACCCTCGCCGAGGAGGCAAGGGCGCTTCCCAGGAGGGGAGCGGAGGCCGATGCTCACCACCCACCAAACCACCCCAACCCAACCCGAAGGCCTCAATTTGCCCTCCATTTCCAGTTGGGGGGGGTCGGGGAACACTGAAAAAACACATATGGAACCCGTACCCCCCCCAACCCGAAATTGGGGTCTTCGGGTTGGGTTGGGGTGGTCTGGTAGGTAGTCAGATGCTGCACCAACGAAATGGGCACGGGAAGAATGGAAACAATGCCCAACAGCGGATCTGGTTCATTTTGAACAGGACTCGCTGTCCACAGAAGGCCGCCTGCCCAACAGCGGCCGCTGTTGGTCCCAACATTGTTGTTGGGCATTGTACCCATTCTTTCCGTACCCATTTCGGGCGTCCAAAACCGCCCCCCCCCCACAACCCGGGCCGAACGCAAGGGGGGATAGGGAAAGGGGGGGTTACGAAAGTTGCTGCAGGCATCTGGGTTCGGCCCCGCCGCCGGGCCCATCCCTCGATACATGGGCGCGGGAGGCGCCGGGAGAATCAGCTACGTGAGCTGATTCTGAACCCCCCCCTTTGCTATCCCCCCCTTTCGCCCGGCCCGAACAACCCCCTTTCCGTGGCGCGCGGAGCGCGCCGGATGACGCGGAGGGAGGTCTAGCGCGGGCCCGGGAGGTCTCTTCGCAGACCTCCTAAAGGCTTGCAGCCATGACGCCCGAGATCAAGGACCACTTCGGGCTCAGGGGGTGGCTTTGGTTTGTGGGCCGCTCGTGAGATGAGGAGGAGGAGGAGGGAGGAGTAGGAGTAGGAGTAGGAGTAGGCGGAGGAGGAGGAGGAGGAGGAGGGGTACCTCCCCGTGGCCGAGGCTCGCCGTGGCCAGCAGGCCCAGCTCGTTCCCTATTCAGCGTTCTTCTTGGTATCACGGCGAGTGCATATTCGTGATGTCGTATGGTTGCAAGATGTGTGTATGCCCTGTGCTGCTCCTCGAAAGGATCGGGGGTGGATAGACCTCCTACCCTGACACGTCGATTAAGGAATCGGCCGTTTTCGGTTCGCGAGAGGGCGTCGCGGCCGTCATTTTTGCGGGTCCAGGTCCGTCGGTTTCGGTCCCAGGCCGCTTTTACTAAGGGGAGGTCTATTAAAGGGAGGATTGTCCACCGCCGAAAGGAGGGCCAGGTCGCGTTCCACCCGTTCAAGAGCGTCGAGGCCTACCAGGCTTGCTCCGACCGGGCGCTGCGAAGCGACCTGCTGAGCCCGCGGGCGACGGCCAGTGCTGGAAACCTTTCACGCGCGTTCGCCTAATTCACGTTTGCGGCGCGCACATGGGGGTGTGGTGTCGTCGTTGAACGCCCTCACTCTTGAAGAATATTCATTGTTGATCCCCCCAGCAGTGCACAATGTGTTTTTCAATTGAAGTGCCCCCCCCTCGGGGCTCGAACCCATTTTTACCACTGGAAGTCTTCGTTTTCCAAGTGCGCTGTTGGGTCCCGAGCTACAGCAGTCACGGCCTTAACAACACCAGCAACAACACCAGCAGCAGCAACAACACCAACAACAACACCAACAGCAGCAGCAGCAACAACATCAGCAACAAAAACAGCAGCAGCAGCAACAACAATCATTCTAAGACTGTCTGCTCCTGCCTGCTCACGGAGGGGCCGCTCCCCGCGCCCGCGGCGGAGGAGCCTGGTTCGACCCTCTGGGAGTGCCCGCCGTGGCGCGCGCCAGCACCCCCCCGCCCAGCTGGCCAGCCAGGGCGTGGCAGCCGCGCTCGTCCAGCGCCCCTGCGCAGCCAGCTCCGTCGGCGCCGCGCAAGCATCGCAGGCCCAGAGGTTGACACCAGCACGAAAATCGGTGGTGTGCCTCCACCCAGGGAAGAAGATCCCGATCTCGGCGACGGTGCTAACAGTTTGGCTTCCCAGGTGACCGAAAGATTACCACCAACGCCGAAATCGAGGATCATCTTCCCCCTGTGGAGGCAACCCCCTGTGTTGGTGTTGGTGCCAATTTCCAGGCCTCCAACCGCAGCAGGCGGCCCCCGCCCCCGCGAGCTCCTGCTGGCTGAGCTCCGCGCGCAGAAGCTGCCGCCGCCGCCGGGCGCTGGTCTCCCAGTGGGCGCCCTCCAGCGTGCAGAGTACGCCCTCCGGGAAGGTCAGGAAGGCGCCGCCTCTCGCTGCCAGCCGCGCCCCGCAGCTCGTCCTGCTCAGAGAAGCAGGCGTCGCAGCAGAGCTGCGCGCTGGTTCGTTTGCGCGCTCTCCGCTAGGCCTTGCGTCAGGGGCGTCTGCAGCGCAGTCGCCAGGTCCCCGCCCGCAGCGAGCTCCAGCCCTCCGTTCTGCAGCCCGCGCCGCGCAGTGGCTTGCTGCTGGGCCCGCCCGCGGCAGTCGTCCCAAGCAGTCTGCCAGCGTCCCGCTGCCTTCCTTGGCTTTCCGTGACCTGCTCCGCCGCCAGCGGTCAGGAGACCAGGAAAGCCGCGCGGCGGCGCGTGCTAGCCAGCTGCGCGCCCAGGCTTCCGAAGCGGGCCGGGAGGCCCAGCAGCTCGCTGGCTGCGCCGCCGGGGCCCAGCCCGAGCAGGTCCCGCCAGCAGCCCGCGAGCAGGTCGTCGTACTGCTGCGTCGCGGCGTCCGTGGCGAGCTCCACTCGCAAGGAATGTTGGCCTGCCGGGCCCACGCAGGCGCGGAAGAGGGCTGCCGCCGCGTGCTTTTTGAGCCCTGCCCTGTGCCACTTCTTCAGCTTCTGGCAGAGCGTATGCAGCAGCCTCCGCCCTGCTTCGGCGAGGCTCTTCCGCCAGCTCCCCAAAGGGCGGCTGGCACGATGCCGTCGGCGTCGCCCGGCGGTCGCAGGTGCTCGCCGAGCACAGGCGAGCAGGGCACCCAGCACGCCTGCAGCTCTTCCATTCGGGCCGAACGAAGGGGGGGGGATTGGGAAAGGGGGGGTAACGAAACTTGCTGCATGCGGCTGGTTTCGGCCCCGCCGAGGGGCCCAGTTCTCTGTACATGGGCGCCTCCCGGCGCCGGGAGGCGCCAGGAAAATCAGCTCCGTGAGTTGATTCTCACCCCCCCCCTTTGCTATCCCCCCCGTTCGCCCGGCCCGATCCGTGAGCACGGCCCACCAGGCTGAGAACCAAGCAGCCATTTTCGTGGCATGCAGGTGCAGCCCGAGTGGCTGGAGCGCTTGTTGCAGGGCTTGCGCTATCAGAGCAGCCAGCGCGGCCTCCACCACGAGGCAGCTCTAAAGCTTCGCCCGCGGGTCCAAGCGGAGCAACTCCGCGTGGAACCTGGCCAGTGGGATCTTTCCGCCCACGCCAGACGGACGTCCAGAGCGCGTCCCACTGGGCCCCCCGGAACCACGCGAGGCGCTCCTTCAGCAGCTCGGCACGTCCGCTTCGTCGCTGGTGCTGTGGAGGAGGAGGAGGAGGAGGTCCTCTCCAAGAATAGGTTCCACTCATCCTTCGCCTCCTCGCGTTCCTGGGCGTGTCGAAGGACTTCCAAAGACTTCGGGCGCACCTTGAGGACGGCGCCGCGCAGCCTGTCCAGCATCTGCACGTACGTAGTGGCCCTGGTGGTTGACAATCGGCACGCACGAAATGGGTACGGAAAGAATGGGTACAATGCCCAACAACGGATCCCGTTCGTTCATTTTGAACAGGACTCGCTGTCCACGCCGCCGCGGCCTGTGCCCATTCGAGACAGAAGGCCGCCTGCCCAACAGCGACCGCTGTTGGTTTGGGACAACATTTGTTGTTGGGCATTGCACCCATCTTTTCCGTACCCATCTCGGACGTCCAAAAACAAGTCATCCTATGGAACGCCCGCCCACCAACACCCGCCAGGTAGATCGTTGCCGTCCCAAGCTGGGTGCTGGATGGGCTGGCGCTGCTGCTGCGCCGGCGGCGCCATCCCAGCGGCGGCTCCCGCTCCGTCCGGAGTCTCGCGTGCTGCCGCCTGCGCTCGCGCCGCCGCGACGTGCGTGGCAGCGCCTCGAGATCTCCCACGCGGCGGGAGCTCCGCACCGAGCGGCAGCCGGCCCCCTGCAGACGGGTAGCGCACGTCCAGCGTGAATCAGGAGGGAAAGAAGCACACAGACACAATCAATCGTCGACTCCCAGGAAAATATGCAAAAATATGGGAAGTGGTGGGGAAGACGAAAACCCAGAAAATATGGGAAAATATGCGGGGATATCTTTATTTGTGTGTATTTATTTGTGTGTTCCAGTTCCCCTTCAGTGAACAAGGGCGGGTGGCCCACGGGCTCAAGCGCAGCTCGCCATTCTCGAAGACCAGGCCACAGGACCTGCGGGCGGCCGGTCGTGCAGATGCGCCCTGGAGGTCGGCGGCCGCGTACCGCTGCCCGAATCTGGGATGCTGGCCAGGCGCTCGCATCCTCCGCCATCGTGTCCTCCTGTTCCTCCCCGCCCGGGTCCCGGCGTCGTCGGCCTCTAGCAGTTTGCGCGCCTAGTGCCGCCTCGGACACGTCGACTTCCATACCTCCCGCGCGCGCTATGGCGCGGCGACGCGCGAACCCAGGCCTGGACGGGTTGGGCGGATCGCTGGGCCGAAGATCGGGCGGCAGGCGTCGATCGGGCCCCGACCGATGATCGATCCCGCTTTGCTCACTTGAACCAGACAGACAGACACTGACAGACGGACAGACCGACATACATATAGATAGACAAACCTGTCTTTATGTATGTATGTATGTATGTATGCATGTATGTATGTACGCATGTTTGTTGTGTGTATGTACGTCTGTGTGTATGTATGTATGTATGTATGCATGTATGTATGTATGTATGGTATGTATGTAAGTGTGCATGCATCTATGTATGTATGTGCGTATGTTTGTCTGTTGGCGTTCATGCACGTATGTGTGTGTGTGTGTGTGTGTCTGCCGGTGGTTGCGTCTATTTGCTTGCCGGTATGTATGCATGCGTGCATGCATGTGAGTCTGTATGTATGGGTATGCATACATGCGTGTACGCAAGTGTGCAAGTATGTCAATTTATAGATATGTATGTATAGGTTTGTATTACTGTATTCGTGTCTGTATGTGTTTACGTTGATGTATGCATGTATGTACTGTCTGCAATGTATGTCAGTTCGCCTGCCTGTATGTATGTATGCGTGTATGTGTATGCTAGGCAATAACGGATTGCATGTACTGTAACGTACGATGTCGTATTGTATTGTATTGTGCGGTAGTGGTAGACCTATCTAATGTAGTGTAAACTAGTGTTGCGCAGTGTGAAGTAATATGATGTTGTGTATGGCTTGTGTGTACTATATGTGTTCTAGGTGATGTATGTACTGTACGTAATGCCTTGCCATTGCATGTCATGCATGTATGTGTGTATGTTTTGTGTGTGTATGTATGTATGTATGTATGCATGCATGCATGTATGTATGTATGTATGCATGCATGCATGCATGCATGCATGCATGCATGTATGTATGTATGTATGTATGTATGTATGTATGTATGTATGTATGTATGAAAGAGCGCGTTCTGTGGCCGCTTGGAACGGGGGGGGGAACCGAACCCTCCCCCCTGTATGGAGGCGGGGGGGTTAGAACCCCCCAACCCCCCTCTCGTGACGCAAGGGGGGGGGTTCACCCCCCCCCCCCTCCCACCCGTGCTTCCCCTCTCCTCGGGTCGGCGCTTGCGGCGGCGGCGGCTGGCGACGGCGGCCGGGACGACGATTTCAATTTCTGGGCCGGCGCCGACCGGCGCCTGCGGCGGCGAGCGGCGGTGGCGAGGAGCGTCGACGAGGACGACGGTGGTGGTGGTGGTAGTGGGTTGTGGCGGTGGTGGTGGCAGTGGTGGTGGTTTGGTGGTGGTGGTGTGGTGGTTTGTTGTGGTGGTGGTGGTTGTGGCGGTGGGTGGTGGTGGTGGTGGTGGTGGTTTGGTGGTGGTGTGGTGGTGGTTTGTGGTGGTGGTGGTGGCGGTGGTGGTGGTGGTTTGGTGGTGGTGTGGTGGTGGTTTGTGGTGGTGGTAGTGGTAGGTTGTGGTGGTGGTGGTTTGTGGAGGTGGTGCTGGTGGTGGTGGTGGCGGTGGTGGTGGTGTGGTGGTTTGTGGTGGTGGTGGTGGGTTGTGCTGCTTGTAGTGGTGGTGGTTGTGGCGGTGGTGGTGATGGTGTGGTAGATTGTGGCGGTGGTGATCGTGGTCGTGGGTTTTTGTGGTGATGGTGGTGATGGTGAGTTGTGGTGGTGGTGGTGGTTGTGGTGGTGTGGTGGTGGTGTGGTGGTGGTTTGTGGTGGTGGTGGGTTGTGGTGGTGGCGGTGGTTTGTGGACGTTTGTTGTGGTGG